CAGTGGTGGGAAACATTGTGTTTGGAAAACAAAACTTTGTACCTTTCTATTTATCCATCCACTGTTGGCAGCAAGAACCTGCCAGGACCCCTGGTTTTCTCCACCTCGCTCCCTTGATTTCCTCCTTGCCAAGCTGAGCAGACAGAGCAGACACTGACATCTGCAGCTCCCCTTTGCACAGGAAGAAGTGTCCTGGATATTCTGGCCCTTGTGAGGGCTACAGGGGAGCTACAGCAAAGCACATCAACACATTAAACCAGAACTCAACCTCGTGCAGGTCCTGCCCAGCAGCCTTACAGCTGCTGAATGAAGGACATGTCACAAATCACTGCCTGATGCCAGCTGCTCTCCAGGCCTGCTCTGGGCTCTAGCTGCTCTGATGCCTCAGCCTGGCCATTAAAACACTGTGCATGTTGCCAGCAGTGCTATCCCTGCCAGCAGCCAGGACAATTTCGTAGGGTCGTCTTTCTAGGAACGTTTGGGCTCAAGATGACTGGATTCCTGTCATTTGGAAGGTCTCTTTTGGCCAAGATAGAAATTTAAAAACCTTCACAGATACATATTGCCAAGTTATACCCTTCTTAAATGATATACTGCTCAATCTCTGTCCAATTTTCCACTGCTCATCTTCCACAGACCTTTCAGCAACAGCCACTGCATTCAGATCCTCTCTCAAAGCCTTCCATGTAATTTATTCTGCCCAGGAACTAAGCTCTCATGTCTGCTCTAAAGGTTAAGTTAAACCAAACAGTTAGTCTGTGTGATGTCCACGTGGCTTAACAACAGCAAATGGGCTGTCCTCTCTGGGACAACCTTGAGATCCATCCCTCCTGAAATCCAGGAAAGCCCCAGGCCCTGGGAGCCTCTGGTTGCCCACAGTAACCCTGACAGGGACTGGCAAGGACCCTCTCTGCCTTGATGTGACACCTTTCTAGGTGGCAACAGGGAAGGGAGTGGGCAATAGGATTCCTTCTTGGAGATGTTTAGGCCTTCATCAATACATTCCAAGACACCAGAGCAAAACTTTCAAGGTGCTGATATGATTACTTCACCTCACTATACACCAAAAGGGTCAAGATGAAAGAGCTTTCCCATTTCTTATTGACCTTTTATCCTGCAGCAGGACCTTAATCAGTGCAAGGCTAGGGACCAGGAAACACTTTCGAGTAATTTCTCCTCCTTATCCCTCCTCTCCCCAAGGAATGATTTTCCATTAAATCAGCTCAAAGGTCGGCAGGTTGATGGTGGATGACAGAGGAAGCAGGTGAGCTGCTGTGCACAAGGTTCCCAGCTGGGATCAACAACCACAGTGTGTCTGTTGGAACAGAGGATGTCCTTTGTATAAAGTTAGAGCTGTATGAAATGAACATCTGGGCAACAAAACTGGATCAAAAAGCAAAAGATCCCAGAGACCAAAATGACGTGGGTGCACAATTAGTGAAGAGCCATGTGATGACTACAGGCAATCAGTGACCTTTATATCACAGCATCAAAGTAATTGAAAAAACTGTGTAAACAGAAACTATTTCATGCTCTCCAAAGTAGAGCAGAGAATTTGTATTTTGGAGATCATGCTTAGATAAGTTAAGACTGGCTAGCCC